GAGGGAGAGGGAGAGGGAGAGGGAGAGGGAGCGGGAGAGAAGAAGAGAAGAATGAACAAACAAGCAAGCAGGCAGGCAAAACACTAGATGAACAGATGGGGAAACATTATTTTACATGGCTCAAGTCTCCTAATTGATAATTAAATATGCGATCCTGGCACATGCTGGGCATTTTAGAAAGTCATATTAGTTATTTAACAACATATAAAGTGTGAAAAATGCTTTTCAGAAATCCTGATATTTTATTTTAAAATTTTTAATCTTTTCTTGAATTGATCATACTTTCCATGAAATAAAATTCAATAAAATGTAATAGGTTTTTGTCTGTACAAAGTGAGAATTTTCTGATCATTTAGATACTAAAATTTTCATTTCTTCAAATTAATATGCATACAAATGCAAAAGTACTGAACCCAACTTTTGTCCAACATAGACATTATATAAATACATATTAGTGAACTATTAGGAATTTAAAATGTTTAATAAGTCATGATAAAATCATGGAGTATTCATATGGAGCATGAATGCAAAACTTCTAATAAGTTCTTCTACTTTGAATTATTTATTTCAGTGTTGTTGAATTTATCCTTAGAGTACCTACATAGGTTTTAATTATTCTATTAACCTAATATAAAATTTGCCAGCCCAGAGGATTAAAAAGCTAAATCAGAACAGTCAATAATATTTAAAATGTATTTTTTATTTTTCAAACAAATGCATCTTGGTTTTTTTATAATAGGTATCTAAGGTAATACCTCCTTTAAGGTAATAAAGAGCATCTACCTGAAATCGAGTCAACATTATTTAAAAAGTTTCAATATTAAAGATATTTCTAATAAAGTTAGAAAAACACAAATATGTCTTCATCACCACTGTACTACAATAATTTACTCATGCAGAAAATTCTGTTCAATAAAATAGAAGAAAATATTATACTTAAAATTATGGAACAAAATTCACTGTTTTACAAGTATATGGAAAAACTTTATATATTTAAAGTCAAAAAGGACAGTAAACATGAATGATAAAATGAATAATTTTTCCCAAAAGAGCTATATATAACCTTGAAAGAGGTGAAGAATATTTGGTTCTACTAATAATCAGACCCATATGTCATAAAGCCATGATTAATAGATTTTCTAAAATCAAGATAGTGAAGAACTAGCAATCAGAGTCTCTAATTTTATTTTTTGAAAAGAATAAAAAATAGTAAAAAACATTAGAAAAGATACAAAATTTCACTAAGCAAAATAAGAGGAATTCAATAATGGTTGTGATATTGTATAATATTGTCTTCAGATTTGTTGAGATTACCAGATATAATCATGCAAAATTGGTTTTAAAAAGTTATAAGAAATTAAAAAGGAAAGAAAAAAAAGAAATTAAAAAGAAGTAAAAAAAATAAGTATTAACTGTTTATTTCAATAGGCCAGTGGGAATCAGCAGTACAATAATCCATGCTATCCTGTTTATACACATAAATATACCTTTTTCCCTTCCTTTTGTCACTTTCCTCATCCTGGTTTCTCCTTCCCTTTGAGCAGATTATTTCCCTTTCATAGTATCTGTTGTACCGTTCAGATTTTATTTACTCTTTCAGGTTCTTACACTAGCGAGGCAATCTGATGTTTGCACATGTGGATCTGATTTAAAAGAACACTGACATTCCATCTCACCCCACCTACAATTGCTATAATCAAGAAGTCAGCCCATAGCAATTGCTGGAGAGGCTGTGGGGGAAGAGAAACGCTTCTCCACTGTTGGAGGGAGTGTAGACTGGTGCAAGCACTGTGGAAATCAGTGTGGGCAGTCCTCCAGAAACTAGAATTGGCAGGCCCATTCAACCCAGCTATTCTCCTCCTGGGTATTTTTCCAAAAGGACTGAAAACATCATACCACAGCAATATATGTGTACCCATGTTTATAGCAGTGCAATTTTTCATAGTTAAATTTTAGAAACAACCCAAATACCCATCAATTGAGAAATTGATTTTTAAAAATGTGGTACTTTTGTATAATGGAGTATTACTCAGCTATGGAAAAGATGAGTTAGAGGCTTGTATAGGTAAATGAATGCAGCTAGAGACTACCGTACTAGCAATCATAGTTTTAAGTGTGAGGAGAACATTAGAAAACAGACATTCTCAGGGCCAGCAAGATAGCTCAGTGGACTAAGCACCTGCTTAGTCAAGTGCAGGGACTGGAGCAAGACCCTGCCCCGGGCATGCTGAGCCTTCACTGAGACCAGGTGTGGTGGCACAGGCCTGTAGACCCAGTGCTGGGGAGGCTGAAAACTGGAGGACCATTATGAGTCTGAGCTGCGTAGTGAGATCCTGTACCAAATACATTAAAAAAAAAAAGAAATTAGACATTCTCAGATATGCAATTGGGAATAAAATTTAATTTTTCTAGAAGTAATTTGGTGTTCTTCAAGAAAAATCCTTAAAAATGTTTATATACTTTAGCAATATGATTTTGTCTCTTATAATTTTGTTTTCTTTTTTTCATGGTACTTGGACTCGAACTTAAGACCTTGTGCTTGCCGGACAAGCACTTATTCCATTGAGCTATCTCCCCATCCTCCTCTTGTAATTTTCTTAATGCAGTGCTTAGAGGGGCCAAGGAGATAGCTTCCTGGTACCACAAAAAAAATTCTTAGATACGTAACTCCAAGAGTGTTAGAAAATTTAAATATATAATCATAATCACAGAATGTTGAAATAACTTCTTTCATGAAAAATATAAGAGTACAGTCCACCACATGATATTTAATAATGTAAAAGTATGTATTAAGTATTAAGATGGGCTACATACACATTCTCAAACTTGAAAAAGAATGTACACTTATACGCATTTTTGAAGAAATTCCCTTATGTGAATATTTTGACTTTTGAAGATCAAATCATCAGTGATATTTATTTCTTTTTGTTGGGTGAGCTGGATCTGGGCACTGTTGAAGAGAGTTCTAAGAAAAATGAAAACCACTTTGTCCTCCTAGTGCTCCATGTTCTAAACCACAGGGCGCTAAATTCATATTTTGCTGGTTTTCATTTCCTTTACTGTCACAAGTGAGAGGAGGGAGTTTTTAGTGTTGCAACAAGGTTTTAGAAGTCATGGAACAACCACGAATCGTGCCTATGAAATGGCTTTTCCCCTGATGCGTAAAACCTTCTTTGTAGAATAAAAGGATTGCTGGATTTTAACTCACAAAAGTTAACTTTAGATTTAGTGAAGTAAAAAGTTTACCAATTTTTAAAAGCCACTGCTTTCTGTTTGTCTGCTGTCCCCTTATTGTTCTATAGTGTGACCGATGCTTGCCTCTGTACAACGACAAGCCTTTCCGAGGAGGGGATCAAGTTCACGATTTCGCCTGTAAGCCTTGTCAGTGCCACGGCCACTCTACAAGCTGCCACTACAATGCCTCAGTGGACCCATTTCCCCTGGAGCATGGCAGAGGGGGAGGAGGTGTGTGCGACGCCTGCCGGCACAACACCACAGGTGAGGAGAGTGGACAGCCCGTGGCCACCCCTGGAGCTCTCCGTTAGCCCCACCCACTTAAATAGGTGCTCTCAAGCCCATGCTTTGAAGACCAGAGTTGGTACATCCAAGTTTCCTGATTACACGTCTTTACAGAGGTTTGAGAAATGTGCCGTGGTCTTCGATAGTACGTTTTTAGGATGTGATTTCTTCTGAAGTGTTTATACTCTGATCAAACCACAAAGGCATACTTAGTGTGAGTGCATGTGTGTGTGTGTGTGTGTGTGTGTGTGTGTGTGTGTGTGTGTGTGCACATGCATTGCCTTATCACGAGTTTCTTCAGGATGCCTCATATCTTCTTCCTCACATAAATGAGTTTCTATTTCATTCAGACTTGGTACAGAAGCTGCCAATCTGAGGGTGCCCGCTTACAACACTAGCTAAAGGCAGAAGGTGAAGTCCTGTTCTAGAACCACAGAGCATGTGGACTGGTGTTTAAAATGATTTTCTGAAGGGTAGGATGCTAAAAGCAGAAACAAGCACCATTTGAATTTCAAAATATGGTGGCCCAAGTCCAATGGACCAAAAAGTTCAGCTCTGAAGCTAGAAGGAGTTTGTTGGGTGGCCACAGGCATCCCCTGAGCTCTAGGTAAGAGAAGAAGAGGGCTAGGAGGACCAGCGTGTCTGTACCAGACTGCTGTGTAGCAAGGAAGGCAGACTGCTCAAGGGGCATTTCCAAAGTTGTCTGATAAATAGGCATCAGCCAATGGGCGGCTGAAATAATGGTTCTGCGAAGATAAATGCGTGCAGTGGCAGGGACGTGGCAGAGACATGACTCCTTGGAAGAACTGATGGACACAAAAATGGTCAGTGCTGAGAAAAGAAGCCAGCAAGGAAGGCAGGGCCAGGCCGGGAGGGCCCTGCAAGTGGTCATAAGGAGGTAGGTTTGCATGGTTATAATCCCTGTGTTCTGTGAGGCTCAAGCAGGAGGACCCACAGCTTTGAGCACACCCGAGGCACCTTAATGAGATCTTGTCTCAAGGACACGTGGTGAGAAGCTCAGCATCGTGTGAAAGCCCTGGATTGAGTCCCCAGCACAGAGGGAAAAGTTCGACTTAAGTCCTGAAGTCAGCGAGACCCCAGGGAAGGGTTTTAGGTATTTAGGGCACGTAATTAGTTTTTGTGTTTTAAAAAGATTCACTTAGCTATGGTTTGGAGAATGGGTTGGAGAAGGTCAGGAAGGGTTTGAAAACAATGAGGTAATCAGCGCTGCAATCATCCGGGAGATAAATAATGTTGAGGTGCTTTGAAGTAATGCAAACAATCCAAGAGATATTTAGGACAAAACAAGAGTGTTTTTGTCAACAGGGGATAGTAAGGGAAGGAGGAAGGGTCACGGCTGCCCCCGACAGCTTCCGGGTGTGCAGTGGAGGCCGTGAGGCGAGAGCACGTCAGCACGAGCCCTTCGGGTGGGCAGTACTGAGGGGTCCAATTGCAGAAGGCGACAGTGCTGCCTTATACATGCCCGTAGTGCATTTCTAAGACACAGGACGAAGCTCTCTGGTGGCCCTCGGAGACTGTGCAAGTTGTCCACGCTAGGAGTGCCTCGGGGTGCTGCAAGAGGCGTCTGAACCTCCCGCCTACTTCGGGGCGCATGCTGGTTGCTACGGCTTGCGGGCGTGCGTTTAAAGGACCGACCCAAAGACCGGAGAAAGCTCTGTGGAAGCTTTCGTTTATTTACGAATGCTGCTGCCTTTTCTCTCTTTCTTACCCCTCGGCACTTCACACAGTACTTGGTATTTAGTAGTTACTTACTAAATATTCAATTGAATGATAAAGAGAGATCTCCAGGTTGGAGATGCTGAATGAAGGTTGTCCACATGTATAAATTGATGTATTTTATATAACCAATATCCATCAGAATATTTTTGCTTGATTATTTCTATAGTCTTTCTTTTTCTTCCCAGCTAAGGAGCACTATTTTATTTACAGTCTCATAATTTCCTTTCCAAAAGCTGGCTGGTTAAGCATGGTATTTGTATTAATATAATTTTTGTGCAATTTTAACAAAATTCTGTCCTCATTTAAAATAATTTTTGAAGTTTCTATCAATCTTTGTTTTTTATTTAGTTTAGTAGTACAGATATGAAACACTTAATGTTTAAATTTCTTGGGGGAAGCTGGGACCATAGTAGGTCGATTTGAGCATGGAACATGATATTTAAAGGAAAAATCGATAGCTTTCATCTCGCAGCCGTGGACTTGTATCTTATGTTTGCTTTATAGACTCCTTGTTGTGCCGAGTTTTTTCTCATGTAGGACTGTAACCGGAAATTCAGATTTATAAATTCTACTGATAAGAATCCCCTGTCATAGCTAATAAGTCCAGCTATCCTAACATTTAATATGAAAATTATTTAAATAATGAATTTCTGTTTAGATATTTGAAATAAAAAATAATGGTCCCTAACAGAAGCACTTGCTTCTAATCCCGTTAAATATATAATAATCTGTTGTGCCGAGAGCATCACCCAGCTTTGCAGGATTTAGTTGTAGAATAATATTTCTAACGCTGCCAAGCTATTCGCTTTACACTTTGTAAGTATCATCTACAACACCCGTAGAAGTTTCTTGTATTTGATTTACATGAAGAACTTAGCCCTTAAGATAAAGTTTTAAGATGCATTTAAAAATTGCGCGGGGCCCTACAAAGCGTGGCATTTTAGTAGAGTGGTATCGTGCAGCAGACGGGAGTTTAATGAAGTCAGGCACAGTTTGTAGCAGGTTCGTTGTTTCACATGCTCCGGATCACTGGATTGGCAGCTAGAGATGAAAGGTGCATTCAATGCACGTCGCCAAAAATCATGGGATCCCCTCAAAGGAAGAATATAGTTTAACTGTGAATCATGCAGCTGACCGCAATGAAGTGGGAGTCATAACGCGTAGCCTTTCCCCGATGCAGGAAGGAGCTGCGAGCTGTGCAAGGGTTCCTTTTTCCGACAAGTTGGCGCAGACCCCTCAGCCGTAGACGTCTGCAAGCCCTGCGACTGCGACCCAGCTGGCACTAGGAACAGGAGCCTGCTCTGCGACCAGGTTGGTTCTCGGGAGTGAAGGTGAACGACTCCGCGGCGGGCCCGCAACAAGCCTGGGCGAGCGCTCGGCGTGCGCTCGGAGGCTGCAGCGACCCGGAGGCCCGCTGTGCGTCTGCACTTGGACGCCCTGGTCTCTTTCGGGGATCCTGTTCAGGATTTAGTACGAACACGGCGTCCCTGGTACTCAGGAAGGGGGATTCTAGGTTAATTTTTGCAAGTGTCAAAAGAAATCTGAGGATGTGGGTTCCAAGTAAGCTGTGAAGTCAATCGAGGCTAAATCTTGCGTTGCTGGTAGAGTTAATAAATAAGCACGGCGCTTTCACAGGTTCCCTAAGGACGGTGTAGCAAAAGTCACTTCTGAGGAGATCCAAACGTAAGCTTTGAGAACCATGATGCTAAAATTTTTTCCAGTTTGTCTCTCAACTCAAAAGTACAATTCATTTTTGATGATATTTCAAATATTTTTGTTTGCTACATGGTAATATTGACTTGCCACCTAGATGGCTGCGGATTCTAGCTAACCTTGGCCCACATATCTTCTTCTACACCTCCTCCCTCCCCATGTCCCTCCTTCCCTCCTTCCCCTCCAGCCTTCACTTCTTTCCTTCCTTTTTCAGATTTGAAGGTACATGGAAACACATTTTATTTTAAAAATATTAGTGCTTATTAATTTTATAAAACATTGGGTTTCAATGCAATATTTTCATATATGTCTGCAATATATTTTGACTGCACCTGTCCTGTTACCCTCACTTCCACCCTGTCCCCACCCCTGCTTATTCTCTGCCCCTTGCAGTGATACTGTACCAAGATCCTGTCTACAATCATGCTGCTTTTTACCTAGAGATTTTAGGGAAAACACAAGATGCTGGACATTATGAATCTGGCCTAAGTTGGTTAATGTAAGGATCTCTAATTCCATCCATTTTCCAGCAAATTATATACTTTTTGTTCTTTATGGGGATGAATAATTGTCCATTCTATGCATGAGCCCCGTTTTCTTCATCGCTTCTCCTGTTATTCAGCACCTCAGCTGGTACCCTATCTTGGCATTGTGAACTGTGCTACAGTGAGCTGAATGTCCACTCAGGCGCCCTAGCAGTCTGCTCACTTGACTTCTTTTGGGTAACTGGCAGGAGTAGTTGGTATAACTGGTGCGCCTGGGTTCTCTTTGTGGTTTCTTGAAAGACCTTCACTCTGGTTCCCATGCTGGCAGGTCCCAATTTACATTCCCACCAGTGGTGTAGAAGGACCACCTTCTCCCCAGAATTCTTACAGGCCTTATGGGTCATCATGATCTTTATGACAGCTGTTTTGACTGGGGTGATGTGGAATCTCTGTGGAGTTTTAATTTTCATTTTCCCTGTGGCCAAAGATGTCAATACTTTTCCTGTATTTACTGGCCACTAGCACCACTTTTGAGCAGTATCTGTCCTTTGCCCTTTTGTTGATTGGAGGTTTTCAAAACTTTTTTTTAGTTCTTTACATATTCTAATATTAATTCTGTCATAAGAATAGCTGGCAAAGATTTTCTCTTGTTCTGTATGTTGTCTCTTTCCTCTGCTATTTTCTGTGAAGACGCTTTTAAAGGGGTATAGTTTCCTTTGTGGATCAGAAGCTCCATTTTTAAATAGGTCATTATCAGTGAAAGTTCTTATCTGTCCTAAGTGAAAATTATGAAAATGAGTAAAGAAAAATTTATGTTGAAGAGCCAAATCAATGACTCTATTAATTTTAAACAATTACATATTCTATTATAAATAATTGAAAGGACAGTGGCTGGGAGCATAAACCACAATCAAATCACTGAATATTTCTTAAAAGGCTCAATATAATCTCAAGACAAAATGGTTCTCATGTAACTTTCAGCATGCATTAAAATTGCTAAGATAAAAGACAATTTTAAAATTAGACAAAATATGGATTTAAAGTCTTTCAAAATAACCATAACGTGTTGACAAGAGATTATCATATGCTTCATTGAGAAGCTGAAGGGTAAAATATTAATTAATAGAGACAATTTCTATTATTTTTGGTGTATGCTGCTGAGGGCCTATTTTCTCAGAAAACCATGGCAAATTTTCTAGGAACTTCAAAGGAAGGCAACCTATGTGGTAAATTTTTCAATGCAACAGACTTTGCTTATCCTCCAAGCCCCAACTCAAAATATTCATAAATACTTTTGTGATAGCTCCTGTGACTTCCCCCGCCCACACGACATGCTCCCGTCAATAACTTCATCTCACCCCACTGTCATTTTTATTATGGCCTTTATGAAATTAACCTGTTGTTTAGCTCATTTCCTTCTTTCTGTCAGACACACACAGAGGGCTTGTTGTATAACAGCTCCCAAAAAACATTTGTTAAAAATGTTGAATAAGTGGAGAGAGATTTTAGCTGAGCGCTGACCTCACAGGTTGCTTCCAAAGTTCTTTTGTGTTGAGTCATAATCCGTGTGTGTCCTCCTGGGAATAGCACAATAATATGATGTGTGTATACAGTGTTCTGTCACCAAGCCCAAGTAATATACTTTTCCGTCTCTCTATATTAATTAAGTCTTTGGCATTCCAGACTCTTCTAGTTTAGCAATTGTGCTGTTTTGTTTTGTTTTGTTTTGTTTTGTTTTTCCCAGCACTGAGGAAGGAACCAAGTACCTGGAAAATATTAAGCATTTGTTTTACCCCTGAGCTATAATCTCAGGCTTCCATATTTGGGCTATTATGAATGGTGCTGTAGGACTGACCAAGTAGCTCTGTGGATTAAAGTGCCTGTAAGCAGGCACAGGGTCGGGGGTATGATCCCTGAGCCTGCTGTTCTGGCCCCGCCCCAGGAGTCCACTGAGACAGCAACTGAGACTGGACGTGGTAGGGAGCGCCTGTAATCCCAGCTCTTGGGAGGCTGTAAACATGCAGATCACTACGAATCCAATCTAGTAGTGACACGCAGAACACCCTGTAGACCCTTCCCTTAAAACATATATTTTAAAAAGCATGGTACTGCAATAAACAGAGGTGTACACATAGATCTCTAGTGTGCTAATTTCATTTCTCCAAGATGTATACAAAGAAGTTACATAGCTGGAATGTGTGATAGTTCTATTTTTAATTTTTCGAAGGGCCATTCTTCTGTTCACTGTGATTACACTAATTCACATTCCCATCAATAGTGTATAAGAGTAACTTCTTCTGTACTTGCTTTATATATTTTGTAGCACTTTATACTAGCCATTTGAGTTGGGATAAAGTTGGATCTTATAGTTTTTATTTGTAGTTCTCTGATAGCATTACAATGCACGTTTTTATACGAGTTCATCATTTTTGTGTCTTATTTGAGAAATGACTGTTTGGTTATTTATTGTTTTAAGTTAGCTTTTTGTGTTCAACTTTGTTTCTCAAATATTCTTGAGATTAATCCTTTGTTGGAAAAATAGTTTGCAAATATTTTCACCATTTTGCAGGTTGACCTTTAGTTTTGTTATTTCCTTTACTGTGCAGAAGCTTCTTAGGTTGCTGTCATGCCCTTTGTCTGGTTTTATGTTTGTTTGTTTGTCTCTGTTTTGGATTCCTATCTAAAAAGTTATTCCTGTACTCATGTATTGTTTGTCTTTTTTTCTAGAAGTTTCAGAATTTAAGGGTGACATTTAGTTGATTTATCCTTGTCGACTTGATGTTTGTGTCCAGTGAGAGGATCCAGTTTCATTTTTCTGATCTATGTATCTAATTTTGCCAGTATTATTTATTGAAGAGCTTGCCCTTTCTCTACTTTATATTCATGTGCTTCTGTTGACAATCAGTTGATTGTATGACCGTAGATTAATGTCTGGGATCTCCATTGTATTCCCTTAATTTATATTTCTCTTTTTTTTTTTTAGATTTTTTTTTAAATTTGTGTGTGTGTGTGTGTGTGTGTGTGTGTGGCCAGCTCAGCCCACCAGGGGGCGGGGCTGGCTGGCATGTGGTGCTGGGGGATTGAACCGCGGTCCCTTTGCTTTAGCTAAGCTTGTTCTAAGTAGGTGCTTTAGACCACTGAGCCATCTCACCAGCCCTATATTTCTCTTTATACATCTCTCTCATTCTGTGCTTGTTACTATAGCTTTATAGTGTTTTGAAGTCATTTGTGATGACTCATCTTTGTTTTTGCTTCAGATTGAAGTGGCTACTGTTGTTATTTTGTGTATTTGGTACAGGGTTTCACTATGCACCTTGGACTCCTAGTGATCCTCCAGTTTTCAGCCTCCCTAGTGCTAGGATTGCAGGCATGTGCCACCACAGCCAGTGGGCGAACAGCACACCTAGGGGTGGGGCTGGCATGGCCTGTGGTGCTGGGGATTGAACCGTGGTCCCTGTGGTTGCCCAAGCAGGCGCTTAGTCTGCTGAACTATCTCACTGGCCACCAGATGGCTATTATTGATATTTTGTAGCTCCACTTCAGTTTCAGGATTTTTAGAAGGATTTTTGTTTTTGAAGAAAGTCATTGGCATTTTGGTTTAGTAGGAATTGCACTGTATCTTTGGAATCTGTTCACTAGTACAGTCATTGTAACAATATTAATTTTTCTAGTCCATGAACCTGAGATGTGGATCCTTTGTGTGTGTGTGTGCGTGCACGTGTGTGTGTGCATGTGTATCCTGTATCATTTCTTTCATTAGTGTTCTACAACTTTCATTGTAGAGATCTTTCGCTTACTTAGGTAGCTTTATTTCTGGATATTTTAATTTTTATAGCTATAATGAATTTGATTGCTTTGTAAGTTTGGTTTTAAATTCATTATTGGAGTTCAAAATATTACTATTTTTGTATATTGACTTTATTGCCTTCAATTTTTACTAAGTTTATCAGTGCTAATAATTTTATCAGTGGGGTAATTTGATGGAAGTTGGTTTCCTCTTTCAGTGCTTTGAACACATACCTAATTCTCCAGGCAGGCATTGAGCCTCTGGCTCTGCCCTGCCCCCTTTCATGTTGTGGTCTTCTGGCCTGAAAGTTGCTGCTGAGAAATCTG